GCAGGGAAGAGCCAGCCTGGTGTTGGGCCTTGTGTGGAGGGTGGGCCTGGGAATCCACCTAGACTACACTTTGCTCCCAGACTCCAGCTCCAGCTGGGCAGATAGGCAGATAGGTGGCTTCTGGCAAGGGGTGGGCATCTTCACTCAGACGACTCAGACTTCCTTCCCTCTGCCCGGGTCCCAGTGAGCCCAGGACTGCCCCAGCCTGCTTGAGCCCAGCGCGTCGGACCCCACCCCACCCTACTGCCAGCCACCCTGCCCACTGCTTGGCTCCGACGCAGGGAGCAGAACTCACACCCAGCCTGGGTGGGGTGTGTGTGTGTGACAGTGCAGACCACCCTACGGAGATTCCCCAAGATGCTCACCACTCTCAGCTTCCTGAGACCTCAGCACCCTGTATCAGACTCAAAGCACAGTCTGGTCTGCCCAGACTCCACCACCCACCGTGACCGCAGGCCCAGGCCTGTACGTGCCCCCAGCCTTATGGCCAGCACGTCACTAGCTCACGCGCTAGTCCCAAGGGGTTCCCTTGCCGTCACCCATCCTGAAGCTTTTCCAGAGGCCTGGGTCAGCCCCCTCCAAAGCAATGGACCCTGACCTGGCCAGCCCCTCCCCCTTCAGGTTCTGACCTGGATGGGGAGTGCAGTCCAGGCTCTCCACCATCTCCACCCACAAGACCTAGGGCCCCCGCTCATAGACCAAGGGCCCGGAGTGGGGGCTGCTCATTGCTCAATGCCACTCCAACGACCCTCCCAGGGCCAGGACACGCCCACAGAAGGCTCCGGCCTTTGAAAGCCCACTCTCACTTCAGTGACAATTCAGGATGGAGGGAGCAGAAAAGTGAGGCTGGCAGGGTGTGGGGTGTATGTGGGGGGGTCCTGGGACTGGAGTGGCAGGTGGAGGTCAGCAGGGCTGGGGGTCAGGGAGAGAAGGGTGCTGGGAGGATGACGGGGAGGGGTCTTTGGAGTCGGGGAATATCTGGGTGGTGGCTGGTGGAGGCCACAGCGTCCCTAAGACAAGCATTCTGTCCTGGGAGCTCAGGTGTTGGACACCCCCGGGGACTTCTGGGGGTGAGGCCTGGCAGGGCTGGGGGGCCTTGACGCAGGACCCAGCACTAGGGAGCCCTGAGGTTCCACAGACTAGACTGGGAGGAGGGCAACACGGGGAGGCCCAGCTCAGAGGCTGAGTCGTCAGCAGGCCCTGGATTGAATGGCCCTCTCCCTGCACCCCCACCCCCCACCAGCTTCTTGGAGATTGTCCTGCCGGAGCTGGGGGACATCTCCCACAGGCCATTGACCTCCCAGGTGGGAAGGGGCCTAGGAGCCCAGGGCCAGTGTGGTCAGCTCCAGGAGAGGACCCCCGGCCCCTCCCAGGGGGGTGGTGGTCCTGAGGCTCAGTGACCATGGACAGCCCATCTACCTGTCCACCTTCCCTGGGCTGACCAGCAGAAGAGACTAGCCTGCTGGCCAGCCACCCCAATCTTCCCTGCCCATTGGGTGGCTTGTCCATCAGGCCAGTGTTTGGCCATGGGTAACAGTACTTTCCAGGCCGGCCCTTGGACTTGGCTAGTCCACTATGTGTTCCCTAGCCCAGCTGCCCAAGGTTGCCCCCTGGAGCCCCTGCACGGTGTGGCCCTTCACCCGGCTGGGCAGGGAGGAAGCTGTAGGTGCTGAGCCCCACCCCTTGGTAATGTCCAGCTCAGACTGGTTCTCCCCCTCTGTGGTGCCGTGATGCCCAGCAGAGTCTGGAGTGGGTTTCTTTGTTCTGGAAGTTGAACTGGACTAGGCCGGCTCGGTTGGGCGCAGTGGCCAGCAAAGGACAGTCCAAGGCTTTAGGGTGAGCAGTGTCTCCCTGCTGGGCTGTCCTGAGGGACATGCACAGAGAGTGGTGGCAGGGCAGGACCTGGAAGGGCTCTGTGGTTGGGGGTGCTCACCTGCCTCATAGGGAGGGGTGGGGCAGCCCCACCCCCAGCCCAGCCCTCTATCAAGTCATCAGGGAGTGTGGGTGGCAGGCGGGGAGGGGCCGCTGCGTTGGTGACACAGGGGACATGGGGCAGGATGGAAATTGTGAGCGGGGTTTGGGGTGGAGACGGCTTTATGGGAAGGCAGATGCAAAGTGCTGATTCTGGCCGCCAGGCCGAGTCTGCCCGCCGCTTCCTCCGCCCGCCCGCCCTTCCTTTTCTTCTCCCTTTTCAGAATCAGTACGCATCTCGGCGCAGCTTTGAAGTCAGCGCAGGTGCCGCCACACCACCGACACGAGCGTTCTAATTTCTCTTTCAGGAGTTCTTGAAGCTGGGGTTGGTCTCAAAGTCAGCACTCCTGTTTTTCGGAGTAGGAGAGCTTTACAGCATGATTCCACTTCCGTTGTAAACGCCTGGCATGTGGGCGATACATTGCTACAAAGTCCACTGCCATCTCTCCATGACTACTAACCAAGTCTCTCCCGGCTGCACAGCCCTCTAGGTTTGGGCAAAGGCCCGTGCCATTCTGACATGGCTATGACGAGCCTCGGAGCCGGTGTGGTTTCGATCTGAACAGTCAGCAGTTTGAAACCCTAGCAGCTCTGAGGGAGAAAGAGGGGCTTTCTCCTCCTGCAGGGTTTGTCTTAGAGACCCAGGGCCACTTCGGCCTTGTCCTATAAGGTCACTCTGAGTCGGCTTCAACTCCATGGGTTTATTTTTCTAATACACCTGCAATGTCTTTTCGCCTCTGGGGACAGCAGTGGACTCCAGTCCCTCCTTGGAGGCCAGCCCCTTTCCAGAAGAAATTGGGTTTCCATTGTTACTGCATCCAGCCCCCCCCACACCCAGCATGGGCAGTGTCCGGGAACTAGTCTTCAAAGGAAAAAAGGGTGAGTTCACACTATTTCCATTTCAAACAAAATCACAAGTTTGTGTTTTTTTAAATAGAAGACATTAGAGATTTTTTTAAACGAACGTGCTAAATAGCTTGCTTCTCATATTAACTTACTTGACAGTCTTATGTAACAGTTTGGAGCCTGGACTGTGACCAGCTGTGAGCTGAGCAGGGATAGCTTTTCTTGGGGGCAGCGAAGCAGTCTGCAGGGACAGGGTCAAGGTCATGTGCATTCAATTCCTTTTGTTGGGATTTAAGGGCTTCTTTTTTATCACGTAAAACATTCCCTAACAAGGAACAACATTTGGAGAAGCCTTGCTCCCTGGCCGCCCACTGGCAGACATCCCCCCCCCACAGCTCCCTCCTCCCCAAACAGCCAGGGTCCTACTGCTGGTGGGGTGGGGGCCGGGGCTGTAAAGGCACCTTCATACCTTCCGCTGTCTCTTTTCACAAGCAGACTTGCCCTCCTGACTCTCTCTGCCCGCCTGGTCTGGCACCTCGGGCCAGGCCCCTCGCTGCTCAAATCCTTCCACCGCTCTCGCTGCCACTGAGTAGCGTAGCCTGTGTTGCTTGTCTGTCCTCACGCAACGAGTCACACAGGTGCCCCCTGGCCATGCAGGTCCTGCTTGCAGCCTCCTCGGGAGATGTCGGCTTCCCTTCAGCTGTGAGCAGCTCTTCATCGACGCCAGGGAGCCCTGGGGTTGCTTCCGGCTGACCATCAGGCTCGAGGCTCAATCCCATCAGCACAAGATGTGGCTGTCTGCCCAGCATGAGAGGTCTCCAGGGGCAGCTACGTTGTCCTGTCCCATAGGTTGCTGGAGTGTGGGGGGGGGGCTCAGGGCAGGGGGTGTGCAGTGGCGAAGTGACAGTGGTGCTGGCCTTCTGAGGAACACACTGCATGGGGGTCCCAGCGGCTCCTGCCTCGTCCCAGGCGCTCAGGCCCTCCGTCCACTTCGTGTGGTCCAGCCTGTCTATCGGGTCTCTCTTGCCCAGTGACTGAGGAGAGCCAAGCTGGTCGGGGGCGGGGTCTCTCCTCCCATACTGCCCTTGCCCCAGGCTGGCTGGCCCGGCCCTTAGCATCTGGATGCTGGTGGTAGTTTTGCTGGGAGCTGCTGTAGGTGGCCGCAGGGCTGTTCCCTGCCAGGTCGGAGCTCACCAGCCTCTCTGCCCACGGAGCTGTTTGCTCCGTAGAGACGGACCGTCTCAGAAATCCCCGTGGGACTGCCGTGAGTCAAGCCAGCTCGGCAGCAGCAGGCTCACCCTTGGGTTTTTCTACGGTGTGAGAGGTGGGTTCAGGCAACTAGGTCCAGCGCTGGACCTGGGTCCACGCTGCTGTCCGAGAAGCCTTGATCCCGGGTAAGACTGGCCCTCGTCACTCTGTCCCAGTGGTTTCACCATGGTCCTGATGGCGTGTCTAGGCTGTTGCTGTGAATCTGCTTGGTTCTGGAAACGTGGCTTTTCATTGAGATCCCGGTACATCGTGGGCGAGCGCGGGAGGAAGTGACAGCGGGAGGAAGTGACAGCTTCACATGGCTGAGTCAGGGATCGAGCCGGTGGTGCAGTTTCCACTATCCCTGTCTGGGAGGCCGAACCCTTTCTCCCCCCTGGTGCCACTGCAGGAAGCAGCTTCTAAGCTTCTGTCTATCCCTGGCCCCCACCCCCCCCACCCCCCACCGCCAGACGCTCAGAAAGTGCTGTGTCGGGGACCAGGTTCCTTCCTCCGCGGTCCCCATGCACTCCACAGGACCTCCCACCCTGCGTCCTCAGCAGGCTCCTCTGGGGTGAGCTGGGCTCTCTCTCCAGAGCTGCTCACACTGTCCTGCCTCTTCTCTCAGATGCCAGACTGGTGGGGGCCCGTCCCCACTGGGCAGGACCTGTCTGCCGGGGCTGTGGGGACCAAGGCCCAGGCCCCTCCAGCAGCAGGACCCTCCTATCCCCAGATGGGTGAGTCCTGCCCCCCACCCTGCACCCCACCGGGCCCCAGTCTTGGAGGGACTTGAGTGGGGCAGACAGAGACACGAGCTCAGTCTGGGGCAGTGCTGTGTGGACCAGGAGGGGACAGTGAGGGCAGGGGTTCCATCCCATCCCCCAGCCCACCCAGAGGTGGCTCTCCCCTCCCACCCACCCCCACAGCATCCTCAGGGACAGAGTGTCAGTGTTATTTAATTATAATATAGAATATCATAGACCTAATGGGGAGGGCTGTCCTCCCCGGCCACAGGCCTGGACAGCAGATGTCTATGTGTGGGCTGGACAAGGCTCTGTGGGCCCCACTCCTTGGGGTGCCTGGCAGGGCAGTGACCACCCTGGGAGAATGGGCAGCTTGTTCCCACGGTGTGTTCTCAGCAGCCCCTGGTAGGTTGTGCCCACACTGGACTTGCGGCGGCTGGCCTGCCCACACGAGCCCTGGCTTCCTCCCTGTAGGGGACTCAAAGCACAGCTGTGCTCATGCTGGCTGGAAGCACCAAGTCCAGGGTGCTGTCAGCCATGCGGGAATAGGGTTCACCCTCAAGTGGCCCCACTGTCCTGTGCTCCCTCACATGGTCAAAGGGGCCAGGAGCTGTGAGCGTCCTCGGGCCTCAGAGGTCGGGGTCCCCACACGCCTTCAGCTGAGCCCCTATGCCCCCCAGGGGGCACGCCGTCCGGGAAGACAATGACTGCGTACTCGGTCTGCTCAGGGAAGTAGGAGGCAGGGGGCTCTGGCGTCTTCTCCCGCCGCTCAAAGTCCAGCTCGCCGTAGTCCACGGTGGGCACGGGCAAGGCCAAGGGGTCCTCCTTCTTCCAGGAGAAAGGGGACTCAGCTGGCTGTGACACAGACACCCGCCCCTCCAGGACCCCCGAGAGTGGGGTCTGTACTTGCAGCTGGGCTGTCCCCCGCCAGAGCACACAGCACAGGGTGGCCCCTGCAGCTGTTCCTGGACACAAGCGTACACACAGGCGCTCACACAGCAACACAGTACAGCCACACACCTGCACACACACTACACCCACACATAAGCACACCCAGGGGCACACATGCTCACATGTGTACATGCACATACGCCTTCACGTTTTTTTTTTTTTTCCTCGCCTTCACGTTTTTTATATGCACACACATGCTCACAATTGCAGACCCACACAAGTGCGCTAGCACATGTGCACACATATGCTCACACATTCGACACGCACATCATGCATGCAACACCTCATACCCACAATGTGTGCACGCATCCTGACACATAAGCACACACCCACAATGTGTGCATGCACACTCACACATATGCACACACCCTCAATGTGTGCATACATGCTGACACATAGGCACACACCGACAATGTGCACATGCACACTCACACATATGCACATACCCACAATGTGT